ATTGGCAGAGTGGGCTATAACAACAGCTGGAAATGCTTCTATTGGCCGTTTAGCAACAATTTTGTCTGAAATGGGAAGAGATGATGTTAAACAATTATTATTTAGAAGAGTACCTTTATATTTATTTAATTCAGCACCACAAATAATTACACAAACTGAAAATAATATTGTAAATAATAATGAAATTATTTGAAGCTTTTAATTTTAAAAAAGAAAAGAAAGTCTGAATATTTCTAAATTAATTTTAAAATAAAAGCTTCACACATTTACTATTTATTCAACCTATTATAATTTACGATTATTGTTTTTTGTGCATTTCTGTTTTCTTTCACTTTTATTTTTTTTCTTTTCAATAAATATTTTATTACTGTAGATGCAATTTTATTTTAAGATGGAGGTGAAATTTTGCAAACGCTAAATATTTTGTAAGGAAGGTAAATACTAAATAAATGAAAATTGAATGGGCTACAAAATTAGTATCCTGGCCAGGCGGATGCATGATGCTTATGCATACTCTTCCGTCCTTATACACATTAGGATGAAAGAGTGGATTATCGAAGCGCATGGAAGGAGGCTCGAATGGATATCTGGGCGGGAACTTGAGCGTCTGCAAAAATGTTGAATTATGTAGAAGCGACAAAGGTACCAACCGCCTTGAAGTAGCCTCCCTGTAAAATTAAAAATTTCAATATTCCTTCAAAAACGATTAATGTAAAAGGACCTGATAGATCGTTCCAGGTGCACCAAATATGGCAACCTTCTATATGAAAATATTTTCGGCAGTAGAATGAACTTTAATACCCTCGATTGGATTGTCAGTCACATCAACAAGCTCCTGTTGCAGACGACGGAGAGCATTTGGAGGAGAATTGCTTGGTTGTTTCGCAGCGAAGTAATATTTTTTCATATAAAAGCAAGAGATGAATGAACAAATCTAAACTTCAATTTGTCATTAGCGCCTAAAACGACATCATTGGCACAGCAATCTCACATGGCTGGCGAGCTGCATTCTCACATGGCTGGAGTATCCTTGTTGGATCAGCAATATACCTGCGAACGTCAACTGGTTCCTTCGCCCCTAAAGATGATAAGCGGTAGTCCTGCCCAGGCTTCTGAAACTCGTCAGTGCGAAGTTGAATTGTTCGTCATTCGGGTTCAACATGAGTTCACCAAAGTAAGTTAACTACACAGTTTTAAATTAAATAATTTAATTGATATAATTTTTATACAGAAAGCTGTTTTGCCTCCGTTGGATGTGTGGAAACGTGTCTTGGATCGTGGCTCATTCCGGTTTGCCTCGTTGGATGTGACCATCAAGCGTCGTGGGCTGTTCGGAATTGAACGAGAGGTGTCCTATGGCATACATACATGTGTTCTGAGCAAGCAAGGTCATATGGTCATCTATACGGACAATTGGAAGCACGAGGGCTTCACCGTTAATCTGAGCAAGGCTGCAAGAGCGGAATTCAAATGCAAAACTCAGAAGGTAAAAATAAGAAAAGTAAATACAATTAAAAGTTGTAATATTTTCTTTTAATTATCAGATGTTTCTATCAACAACAACGCAAAGAATCTGCAATGTTCGTGTGAAGTGGAACTTTGGCTCGGTAAAAATCCGTCTTCCAGAGGCCCTAGTTTTAGATTGGGGGCGCGCGATACTTGAAGCGGTACGTGGTAAAGCTGAGGCTTCTTACGAATCTCATCATTATTCACCGACTGTTCATTATCGACCCACTACTCCAATTCTCTTCGAAAATGGCACACAGACAGATTCTGTGTTTGAGGAGCAGGCAAGCATTCCCTTTTGAGCATGTTTAATGAATTATATTTCAGACTGTCACCTTCGATGGAAATGTTGGCGATATTGCTCCAGTTCCTTCTGTGCGTGCGCCTAAGTCCGACGATGGAATATTCCAACTTCTTGATCCTGATGATTCCTTTGGTGAGTTGGCATGTATTGTTAAATAATGTTTAATGATTTTATTTTTTAAGCATATCGTTCGGATGATGAATCTCTCCATCTGGGCCAAATGTTTGGGAGCAATGATCAGAGCATAAACACCGCCAAAGAACAAGAGATGCAACCACATTCTGTTGAAAAGAAGGAAGATGTCGATCATGATGAGAATAAGGAGAAAATCGCGTTTCCTCTTGAAAAGGCGCTGTTGTTGAACTTCCCTTCAGAGAACAAAGAGCAACAGCAAGAAGACTACATTACTGAAACTGCCGTCATAAGCTCAGGTTCATTGCAACGACGTGTCACCTTCTCAGACCTGAACACTATCTTCGAGGCACCAGAGAATGAAGACCCAGTGGAAGAAGATGAAACTTCTGAATTGAAGCAAGACAACAACCGGAATGATGTGAAGGACGCAGAGGGAATTGAGGAGCGCAGAAAGGTGATTAATTAGTTGGGGAAAAATTATCTATATGTAATTTTTCTATAGGAACACATTGTCCAATTGGCGCTTGATCAAATGCGCATTGTTGGTCAACACGGAGTGAAGGAAACAACAACAGCTGAGGAGGTTTCCATCAAGGATGAGAACGGCGAAAACGCTAATGAGGATATACAGCATGAAACTGGGGCACTGCAACCTTGTGAGCAGATGACTAAGACCAACGATGGTGACAATTTCGTCTCGACGCAGCAACTGGCTCTCAAAATGCAATTTCCTTCACAATCTGAGCGCTTCGATCGAACTCGTTGTCTCTTCGAGCACGGTACTGGAGGTGTCAACACCGATGAGGAAGATGATAAAGAAACGAACAAACAATAGGAAGAGAAATAAAAATTCTCATAATCTTCTATAAATAGGGTTATTTGTATTCCCACAATTTTCTTTCACCTGACTTAATTTATCTGTATATGTACTATAATAATCCAATTCTTTTACCCATTTTTGTCTTGAAAATTCATTTGTTAAATCGTGTCTAATATTCACAAATATTTTTCTGTTTAAATGTGTAGCATGTAAATAAAATATAAATTCGAGAAATTTGTTTTATATTTTTGATCCCCTATCCAAAATTACAATAAATATTTTTATACACAAAGAAAAGAATAATAAATTTTATTTAATGGATGGATTATTTGAGATCATTTTTATTATCAAACCGGCTTTTCTTGGTTCAGATCAGTTTTATGATGTTCACTGTTTTGATCATCTTGATCATTGTTAGGAGTATTGGCATAACCATTTCTAAAATTTAATTTGAGAAAAAAAAGCTTTAAAAGAAATATATTTACTCATTTCTTCTTCCTCTTCTTGAAGAAATTCGTTTTCTCGATGAATGATGTCGTTTTAATCCATTTGTATTAACTAATTGGCTTTGCTCTTTTTCATTAACTTCTCCATTAGTAATTTTTAATCCGTCATTTTTTTGCTTATTACTTGTTAATGACGAAACTCTAGAAAGTGCCATAGCAACAACTACTCAGTCAAAATCTGTCCCTACGAAATTTCAAATAAAAAATTCATTTTCTATGCCAGTTTTCCTTACCTATAGGTAGAAAATCACCAATAGACCAATCTCCTCTGAATGACCTTAAAATTATTTTTTTATGAAAAATAATCTTTAAAAAAAGCAAATTACATGAGACGGCCGAAATATGCAAAAATATGCATTAGGAACCGGGCCTAAAAAACACCATTTTTGCGCTTCGCTCATCATGGCATATCCGTATGCGAATCATACTTTGCATGTTTTGCATACCTCATCATAACATAAAATGTTCAAAAAACTTGTTTTAGCATTGTATATTACTTGAATCTGCAAATATTATTTTATGTACATACATATTTATTAAGAAATAAGTTCAAGGCGTTTTATTTTCATTTAAATTCTTAGAATTATTCTGCTACTTTTCCGGGTATTAATTACGCACTCAATTTTGCATAGTCATTTATTTTTTTTAATAAACTTCCCGCCCCAATTAATTAATGACGACAAACATTCCATATAGACAAATAAAATATTTCTATATAAATTTAAATATATAAGAGCCTGTATATTTTTAAAGGTTATTTTCTTCAAAGATTTTATTTTATATTAAAAAATATTAAAATTAAATTTTATTAATTTAAGAATTATTTTCTTTACTTTTTTAAAGTTTTATTACCGATTTCTAAAAATACAATACCAAAACAAATCCCAAATTTATGTTCCAGATATGATTCCAGGCCTTAATAATCTATTTAATCTATTAAATGTACTTTAGTTCTCGTCTAAATAATTTTAATTATAGAAAATAAAATTTAATAAATAAAATGTCATTACTTTTATCGTTATATTTCAATATTTATCATTTTATTGACTAAATTTATTTTTAAACAAATATTTGCCACATTCATTCCTGCGCATTCTTCAATTATATAATAAACAAAATTAAATCAATTATTTCCAAATCATTTAATTTTAAACAATTTTACTTAAAAATATATTTGTCATTTATTTAGACTCAAATATTTGTAAATATTTTTGTTAAAAATTATTTTTGTATTTTTTCAATTAAAATTTATTCCATTAAAAATTTAAAAAAATCAAAAGAATTACTTAAGGTAATACAGTTAGATTTAGATACGTTTTTTAATTAGTTGTCTACAGGGAAAGTTGCCAGAGCGATACCTCCCTTCCTGCCATTCCCCTCACTTTTTATCTACGATTTATTAATCCGTAATGGCGTATTTAAATCCTAGATCCGCTTACTAATTTTCCCAATATTTGTAATAAATTTATTATTATTATTTAATAAGTAAATTTAATTTGTCTCTTATTTGAATAAAAATATAATTTAATATTTACTTTAAAATTATAGTATATATTCATTAAATAAATTACTATGTAATTAGTATATCTAATTATTTTTTTAAAATCTATTTGGTAAACTTGTTTTTTAATTACTAATGTTTTTTTGAATTAACTTTAAAATTCATTTAATTTTCTTAATTTATAATTTTTTAAAAAATAGTTTTAGAACTTAAAAATATTTATTAAAAATGATTGGAATGATGAATAACCACACTGTAGATAATCCTGTTGAATTTTATGCTGGCAGACGTTCACCACTTTCAACATCTACAGATTCTAATAATGGAAATGCTTGCAGCAGTATTTCAGAAGAAGAACAAAAATTTCTTCATTATTTAGAAATCCGTTTAGAACCAATTCCTAAGAAAAAATTAAGTTATACAGAAGATGGTAGACGTTGTTATGACGGAGAACCAGAAAAAAGTAATGAAAGTCCTGAAGAGATGTGGGCACGTCTAATGCTTAAATTAAGCTGTAATAAAGCAATTGAAGGTAAATATTAATATGTGTCTCTAAATAATACACAAAAATTAAAATATTAAAAAGTGGATTCAGACTTGACACAAATGCCCAGGATCCAGGACCAAAAATAAAAACCCAAGTAAAGTCCATAGTACAAAATTCAAGACTTAGAGAATACTCGATGTCTCTAGTAAATTTCATTCATTATTTAAAAATTTCATAAATCTCATTCATTTAAAAAAAATTTTTTTAACCTCAATTCTATTTTTATTTTCTCAAATATCTTTTCAAGAACCTTTGAAATAAAACATAGAAAAATTGTTGTAACACAAACTATTTAAGAGACAAACTCTAATTCTCAATTAATTTATTTCAGAAGGATTAGTCAGAGTTGGACGTAAGAAAAGAAGCAGTAGCCGTAAAATTCTGCAAAGACTAATTTCCACTAGTAGAGGTTCTATTAGAACACTTCTTGGCAGCAAAAAAGATGAAGAAACAAATGAAGTTAATAATGAAAAATAAATAATTAAAAAATATATTCAAGAAATTTATTTTATTATAATACTTTAACAATTATTTTTTTAACCTCAATTCTTTTAATATTTTCTTAAATATTTTTAAATTAAAAATATATATCCTTCTTAAATAAAATTCAAAGTCTTTACTTTTTTTATTTTTTTTAAATTTAAAAGAAAATTCAGAAATATTTTTGTTAAATATTTTTGTAATTAATTACAAAATCTTAAAAATAATTTTCCTCAATTTGTTATTATCTCTCATTTAGATAGATCAAAAATTTCTTTTTTTCCCGTTTTATATCAATTATATTTCACGATAAATTCATGTGAATTTCTTTAATTAATTCAAACAATCTAGAAAAGTAAAAAAGCAAAAAATAATATTTACAAATAATCCAAAATATCAATTTATAATTAATTAATTGATATTTTTGAGAAATGAAAATAATGGAGAGTAGTAATTGTTGTTGCTGCTGATATAGCTTTAATAAAAATAAAATAACTCTAAAGCAAAAAAATTTAGGAAAATGATAAGGGGAAAAAGAAATAACGGCAACGATTTATTTTTGTTTAGAAAAGAATAATTTTAAATAAAAAATTAGAAAAATATTGTTTATCCTATTTTGTTAATTAATCTCCCCAAAAACTATTCTGAAATTAATCATTTCCATTATACGAGTGCCAGACGACTTTGATCTTATCAATGGCTTTCGAAAGATGCTTGATCCAATACAAATGAATTTATACCATCGAAAGCCCTCGAAAAGCTGTATCTTTTTTCCAACTTGATGGATCAGATCCGATCACCCATTAAAGATAATTAACTACAAATGTGAAAAACATCTAATATCTGAACTTATCGATTTATAACTTTTTAATCAGTGATCAAATTTGATCTATCTAAGAAAAAATATACAGCTTATCGAGGGCTTTCGAAGGATATAAAATTCATTTGTATTGGATCAAGTTCTGGTCGTATAAAGGAAAAGTACCCATCTCTTTTTCTTTTTATAATTTCAATTTTTGATTTAAAAATAATTTATTATTATTTCCTTATTTTTTACAAACCTAGTGTTTTATGAACCTAAAGAGTATTTTTTTAAATAATAAATAATTTAAGTTATGTGGTTGTACTTTATTTTTATTATTTTGTTTTGAATCAAATAAATATATTTATTTTACTTGTTTTTTTGTTGTTTTCTTTAATTTTTTCTAATGACGAAACTTAATAAATATTTTAATTACATTTTTTATAAAAACTTGTGGAATAATTAAAATTAAAATACCGGTATTTTTCCGTTATACATAGTAATAAATAGTTTACGATGAAGTGTTTACCAATATCCCTCTCCCTTAGAGTTATCTCACGAAACTTAGAAAAAGATGAAACTTGAATTTGAATTTTTGAGGGTAATTAATTTGTCTGTTGTTAAGTGATAACCCTTCTCGAATAAATTTTGGAGAGGAGATAACTAACTACAAATAAGCTAAAATAAAAAATTGGAAAGCCATATGTTAAAAATAATTTTTAAAAAGTCGTCCTCAATTTTCTGTTTTCCAAAGACAGATTTTGAAAGAGGTTAGGAGTTAATTTTTTGTTTATTTTTATTTATTTCAATATGTATGTAAGTTTAATTTAATTACTAGATATATTTTTCGCAACTTTATTTTAAAGCGTATAAAATTTTTAAAAAGTATGATTAAAAACACCTACATATGTACATATGTATTTACAAAAAAAAATATTTAAATTTCATTTAGTTATCTTACTAAAATTTGTGAATAATTATTAAATAAAGCCCATGTTAAAAATTATTTTTTCCCATTTTTTATAGTATTTTTTATTAATTTCTTTTTACAAATAATTTAAAAAATGATTTTAAAATTTTTTACTTGTAAACAAACATGTACGTATAACAAAAGTTTTCATAAAAGAAAGGAAAAAGTTTTTACAATTCTTAGCGAAGGTTAGCGAAAAACATTTAAATTATTTAAAAAATTATTTCTTTTATTTTTAAATTAAAAAATGTAACATTAAATAATTTTTAAAATTAATTTTAAAATTATATTTGATGTAAAATTAAAATAAATAATTTAATTATAAATGAATTTCACATGAATTTCCCCATAAATATAATTTAATTTTTAATTATTAAAAAATGAATTACATATGAATAAACTAATTTTTTCTACTCTTTTTTTTCTCACAACACAAATTTTTAAAATTTATTTCCTCAATAAAACTATAATTATTTAACTCTTTTAGATGTGGATAATCAATCTATTTTAATATTTTATTCAATATTTTCTATTGTTTTATTTATTATTTTTAAAATTTCAATATAAAATTGTGTTTTTAATTTTTAAATTCCTTTTATAAATAGACACAAAAATTAATTAAAAATACTTTATTAATCGAATACTTTAATCTCTACGTGTCGGGGTAACTCAAGGAACAGACAAATCAAGGAACTGTCTATTCCTTGAGTTTGTATGTTCCATGAGTTGGTCGTTCCTTGACTTGTCTGTTTCTTGAGTTGATATTCCTTGAGTTAGTCCCCACCCAATCTCTCAAAACTAAACTTATTTTCTTTATTTAGTATTTAATTAAAAGTCTTTTAAATAATTTTTAATTTTTATCATATTAATTTTCTTTATAATTAGTAACGGCATTTAAAAAATTTATTTCCTTAATTTTAATTTTGAATTAACAAATTTATGTTCTGATCAAAGTGCAGTTCAAAGTCTTTTAAGAAAGAGTAAAGTCAAGTATTTAGAGCAAAAAGCACGTTTTTATGTCGTCATGATCATTTACTAATTTTAGATTATTTAAGACTACAAAAATTAAAAAATTAGAAAGGAATGAAATTAATTAATACATGTGAATGAAACCGGAATAAATTGATAATATTTTAAAATAATTACATCAGTATTGAGCTATAATAAATATTTGTAGAGAAAGTATGTATATTTATATATACTTTGGACTTTGCTTTAAAAAAAGAATAATTCAAATTTTTTGAAGGAATTTATATTAAAAAAATTATATTAATTTCTAAAAGGAATTGGATTAAATAGTTCCGAAATTTGTTTGAGATTACATAATATATGCTCATATAATTAAGCATTATTATTCGGGCATATACGGTAAATCAAATTCTCAATTTAAATTGTGTTATTACATATGTATCAGAGGTAGACCGGAATTCCGATTTCCGATAATTTTCAAAGCATATTTCCGACTGAAGATTTCCGGCACATTCGCCATCTCCGATCGACCCCTGATATGTATATATTTAATAATTTTAAAAAGAAAATCTTCAATTAGTCATACATAGCTTTTGTTTTTTTGTGTGCCTATATAGGTAATTAATAATGATTAACTACTAATTAAACAAACAAAAAATATCGCGCAAATTTACTGACAATTAAAAGGGGTTTTACTTAAAATTGGAATAGTTTGTGTTTTAAATATATAGTAATTATAGTGGGCAATAGAAATTAAAAACATTAAATGCGCAACAAATTTTGTCTTGCTTGTTCATTATAGTATAGAAACTATTTATAAATATCTGAAATGTTTAGTCATTTAAATAAAAAATATTAATTAGAATATTTAAATGATACAATGAATATTTAATTAAATTAATTAATTTTAATGTTCCATTCGTTTTAAACAGGGCTCTCATTCGTACTTTATTTGAAAGTACAGTACTTTAAAATCGACCTCCGTACTTACAAAATTGAATTTGTACTTTATTGAAAGTATGTACTTTAAAATCAACATTTTGGATTGAAAATGAAATTAGGGAAGGATTGGGCAAAAAAGTGAATTTTTTTGGCCTACGGCCTTAGAAATTCTCAAAATTTTCGCCTGCGGCGCTGAAAAAGGAAGAAATCTAGCTTCTTGGGTCTAAATTTCAAAAAATTTTCGCCTGCGGCGCTGAAAAAGGAAGAAATATGGCTTAAGGAACTCCAAAATTCTCAAAATTTTCGCCTTCGGCGCTGAAAAAGGAAGAAATTTGGCTTCTTGGGTGCCAAATTTAAAAAATTTTCGTCTGCGGCGCTAAAAATGGAAAAAATCTGTCTTAAGAACCCCGAAATTTCCCAAAATTTTCGCCTGCGGCGTTGAAAATGGACGTAAGAAAGTAGCTTGCTTGAGGTTAAGACTGTCAGGGCTTTACCTCTTGTGACAGCGAATTTTGACATGGCGTGTATGAAATGCACAAAATGCTCAGTGGAAACAAGAGATTATTAGAAAAATTCATTTAGCAGAGAAATAGTATAAAAGATTTGAGGGCGAATAAATATTTTGTAATTTAATTTTGAGTGTCCTTTAAATTTGGAAATTTTGTCCCTATGTACTTTAAAATCGAGATTTTTGTACTCTTGATTAGTATTTTGTCGATGAGAGCCCTGAAAAGTTTTAAATTAATTTGATTAATTTTTCACAAAATATTTTTCAAAAATGTTTCCCCTAATAAATACTTTGGGTACTTTGAATTTACCAAATTTTCTTTTATTTTAAATTTGGATATTTTATATAAAAAATAAAAGTAAAAGTTTTTCAATTCCTTATAATATTTTGTGCTTTAATTAAATTAAATAATTTATTTTATAATTTTGGTATTAACTTTTTTAATAATTATTTTG